AAATAAAGATATTACAAGAGGAAGATTTAACTAAGTATTTTAAGGATTACTTAGATTTTTGGTTTTGTTTATAAAAAATGATGATGATTCCCTACAAAGATGATGAAAAGTTTTATTATTAAAAAAGGGAGGTGTGGCCGAGCGGTTGAAGGTGGTAGTCTTGAAAACTACTAATACATAAGTATTCAAGGGTTCGAATCCCTTTGCCTCCTCCATTTTAACTATGATGAGAAAAGGAATAAAAAGATGAATTATATTAATAATTCTTTTTATTATTATTGTTATAATTGATTTTCTTTGATTAGGAAATAAAGAGGGTTTAAACAAAAATTCACCGGGAAAAGAGTTAAAGAAAATTCTTGAATAATCAGAAATTAAAATTTAAAATGTCTTTATTTTTACAAGAATGACAAAAAAGTTAAAAATAAATAATATATGGAGAAATTAGAGATTATTAATCACAAAGGTGAAGTGGTAAAAAGTATTTCATCTAATTCTGCCCTTTGGCAAACTCCTCTTTCGCCCCAAAATATTTCCCTTTTCAATCGTTGTTATCTAGCCAATCAACGACAAGGAACTAAAAAAACCAAAAAAAAGGGCGAGGTATCAGGAGGAGGAATTAAACCATGACGACAAAAAGGAACAGGGCGAGCTCGTTCAGGTTCTATTCGTAATCCCCAATTTCGCGGGGGGGGAGTAGCCTTTGGTCCAACTGGAGAAGAAAATTATTCTCTTAATATTAACAAAAAGTTAAAAAAAAATGTTCTTCAGTCACTTTTGGGAGAAAAATTGAAAAATAAAAAACTAATAATCGTTGATAAAATAATATTAGATAATTACAAAACTAAAGAAGCAGAAAAATTTTTAAAAAGTTTGCTGATTGAGGAAGTTAAGACTTTGGTCGTGTTGTCTGATGAGGAGGAAAACAAAGAAAAAATAATTAACTCCTTTCGCAACTTACCTTATTCTAATATAAGCAGTAGCAAAACAATTAATTCTTATCAAACATTAACCTCTCAATACCTTATCTTTACCGAATTAGCTTTTTCAGAAATAGAAAAGAGATTAAATTAGAACAAAAATACTATAATACTATTATAAAGTATATTAGAAAATAATATTAATCATCATAATGTCAACTAATTTTATCAAGTGCGTTAAATGTAGTAATAATGCCGAACTTGACCGCAATATTTACAGAAACGAATTTACTTGTTCCTATCCAATTCGAGATAAAGATGGTCAAGTTTATTGCTGAGATTGCTACAAAAATAAGTCTCATTGTAAAGGTTGCAAAAAATCGATTGCTAATGTGAAATTTTCGCGAAGTGGACAGCCTGAATACCCTCATTGCACTGGTGGTGTTAGTTACAACTGTGAAAAAATAAGTAATAAAGTAGAATTTATCTGTTCCAAGAAGTGTTCCAAAAAATTGGCAGACCAAAAATATCAAACTTGAAAAGACAAATTGAATCAAGGTTGAACTAAGTGTGAAGCATGTGTGAAATTTTGAATTGATGGTGAAAGTAACAAAAAAGGATGAGAATGACTAAAAGAAGAAAGGCAATACAGTAGATTTATCAAATTACTACCACCTGGAAAAGAGAAAATTTGCTGTTCTTGCAAAGCTTATGAAAAAGATGGATATTATCATAATATTCATCAAAAAGCCCAACAATATTGAAATTCTCTGAGTTACGAAGAAAAATTAGCCGAAGTAATAAAAACTGATGGAGTAAGAATGGCGGAATTTTATGGCCAAAAATTAACTGCCCAAGAATTAGCTAAACAAGAAAAAGTACCACGAAGTATCTATGAGGAGTTTGTTCATAGTCAAAAGTGTCATAGTTGTGGTGAAGAGCCTTGCAAATACAACAAAAAAGATAATGACAATGAGAATCAGAGAACAAAAAATAATTATCAATTAGATAAATCTATTTTTTCAGATTTTTCCAAGAAAAAAAGTATTTATTTAATGTTGGGAGGAATTATAATTATTAGTTCATTATTATTGATAAAAAAAAGAAAGAATAAAAATAAATAAAAGAAATTATGCTAATCCAAAAACCAATTTTAACCGAAAAAGGTCAATCACTTTATCAGAAAAATAAAGTTTTCTCTTTTTATGTATCTCCAAAAGCTAATAAATTCCAAATTAAACAGGAATTAGAAGCCACATTCAACATAAAGATAAAAAAGGTTCGTACTAGTCGTCAAAAACCAGTTTTGCGACAATCTCGTTATCTGCAGAAATCACCTAGTAAAATTTATACTAAATTACGAAAAAAAGCTTTTGTGGAGTTAATGCCGGGGGAAAAATTAGCTATTTTTGAAGAATAAGCTTTTAAAAATTACTATATATAATGAAAGCGATTAAACCTTTGGCCAATTCTAGCCGTAACACTATTCTTATCGATTATCGGAATAAATTGGTTTCTAATTCTAAAAAAACTCCTTCTCGACTCCTTGAACTAATTAAATCACATTCAGGAAGAAATAATCAAGGAAAGATTACTACTCGACACCAAGGAGGTCGCCATAAACGATTTTACCGTCTTATCGATTTCAAACGTTATGAAAAAGACGATGTAGAAGGAAAGGTAAAAAGTATTGAGTATGATCCTAATCGTAATTCCTTTATTTCTTTAATAAGCTATCAGGACGGAAGTTTTGCTTTCATAATTGCTCCTGAAGGACTAAAAGTCAATGATAGGATAATAAGCGGAAATAATGAAGATATTCCTTTGAGAGTAGGAAATAATTTACCTTTAAGTTATATTCCCCTTAATATGCCTATCCACAATTTAGAATTAAAGCCAAAAAAAGGGGGGCAATTAATTCGTGGTGCAGGAACTTATGCTGAAATAATTGGTAAAGAAGAAGGAAATAAATACGTATTAGTGAAGTTAATGTCAAAAGAAGTTCGAAAAATATTATCTACTTGTCGTGCTACTATTGGAAAAGTAAGCAACAGCGAAGCCAATTTGGTAAAATTAGGGAAGGCTGGTCGAAATCGATGACGAGGTATTCGTCCGACAGTTCGTGGTTCAGCTATGAACCCCTGTGATCATCCTCATGGAGGTGGAGAACAAAAAGCTGGTATTGGTCGTCCTTCGCCACTTAGCCCTTGAGGAAAAAAAACCTTAGGTAAAAAAACTCGTAAAAAAAATAAACTATCTAATAAATATATAGTTCACCGGCGTAGTAAATAAAAGAAGATGGAAATATAAACTTAAAAAATTTTTTGATAATAGTTATTTAAGAACTTATTTAATTTGTAATTTATAAGAACAAAAAAAATTTTAAAATAATATAATATATGTCTCGTTCGTGCAAAAAGCTTCCATATGTTAATGAAAAATTACTTAAAAAAACAGAAAAGGCTCACAAAGAAGGAAAAATAAAAGTTTTAAAAGTTTGAGATAGAGGTTCCGTAATCCCCCCAGAAATGATTGGGCATATTTTGCTTATTCACAACGGAAAAATATTTTTTAAAAGGGAAGTAATTCAAGGTATGGTGGGGCACAAAATGGGTGAATTTTCTCCTACTCGTCAGTCGGGACAGCACGGTAAAGCTGGAAAACACTAAAATTGACAAAAGTCTTTGTTTTGTCAACATTGAAGGATAATTTATTTATTAAAATAGCATTATATTTATGGAACCAATTATCATTAAAAGTTCATCCATTTCAATTTCTCCTCAAAAAATGAACTTGGTTGCTGGAATAATCCGAAGAAGAGATTTAGATTATTCTTTAAAAATTTTAGAATTTTTGCCAAAAAAAGGGGGGCGGATATTTTATAAGTTATTGTCAGGAGTCGCAAAAAGTTTAGAAAAAAATAATGAACAAATAAACGATTTCTACTTAAGAAAAATTGAGGTAAATCAAGGTAAAATACAAAAAAGAGTAATCTACCGAGCTAAAGGAAGAACTAATCGAATTAGAAAAAGATACAGTCTAGTTAATTTATACTTGAATAAAAAAGAGATAATTAGCGATAAAAGCAAAGCAGACAAAAAATAAAATTAATAAATAATGGCACAGAAAGCTAGTCCTTACGCAATTCGTCTCGGTTATAATCAAGTTTGAAACAATTATTTCTTCGCTGAAAATAAAAAAGATCAAATTAATTGATTAACTAAAGATAAGTTAGTGCGCGATTATCTTCATTCTCTATTTCCTGATACTGATCGATTAAAAATTGAGTACTCTAAAATTAATATTTTTATTTATCTTTACATTCCAGAGATTAATATAGTATTAGGAGAGAATAAATCCAAATTAGAGGAAGTGATGAAAGGTATCTATGAAATAATTAATGATGCCAAAATTAAAGTAAAAGTAAATTTGATTGAGGTAAAGAAAATTTATTCTCATGCTCAATCAATTGCTAACTTAATAGCTAGTCAACTAAAAAAAAGAACACGTTCTCGCCAAGTCATCAGAAATTTGTTAACTAAAATATCATTCGAAAGGGAAGTGAAAGGAATTAAAATCGAAATCAGTGGTCGTTTGGATGGATCAGATATTGCTCAAACCAAAAAAATAGTTCAGGGAAAAATGCCCCTTAGTACTATTGATAGTAATATTGAAGTCGGAAGAGCCGAAACCACTACTAGTTACGGAAAAATTGGTATTAAGGTATTAATTTACAAAGGAAAGATCTGACAAAAAAAAAATAAGAGTTATGCTAATACCAAAAAAAACTAAATATCGTTATTCTCATATTATAAAATATGAAGGGCACGTGAAAGGAAATAGTGAAGTTAATTATGGTGACTATGGTTTACAAGCTCAAGAAGGTGCTTATATCAGCAATCGGGTAATTGAAGCTGGACGAAAAGTAATTAGTCCATTTGTCAAAAAAACTGGCAAGATGTGAATTAGAATTTTCCCTCACTTAGGAAAAACTAAAAAACCACTAGAAGTAAGAATGGGTTCTGGTAAAGGCTCAATAGACAGTTGAGTGGCAGTAGTCAAAGCCGGAACAATTATTTTTGAAATACAAGGATTACCAAAAAATACTGCTCATGAAGTTCTCAAAAAAGCTAGTTATAAGTTGCCAATTCGTTGCAAAATTGTCGAAAAAATAAAAAAA